GGACCAAGTATTGTAACAGATGCATTCTCTACTGCCAGTATAACGTTCACTTTGATTTGTTTATGTTTTTTAAATGCAGGATGAACAGTGCACCTTGTTAGGAAGAATTTCAGATAGCTTCCTAGCTCTGTATTTAAGAAGCAGCAGGACATTGGTGATAGATGTGTGCGTTGTTTGGGCTTTTTTTTGGTTGGTTGGTTTTGTTTTATTAAAACCTTTTAATGAAGTTGGAACACTTTGTAGAAATGCTGAGGTCAAAAACATGTTTGCTTGTTGGAAAGGTTTCTTAGGTCAAAACATTAACAAGAAGCTTTCAAAACCTTAAAAAACAGACCACCCCAAAGTACTGATTTTCCAGCAGTCTTTTCTCCTGCTTTGCTGAGTGTAAATGCTGTCTAATAATTTGAACTAAGGAGAGACAAAACCTCACTAGTTTAGTGAGCTGAATTCTCTCAAGCTGCTTGGCTTTTATTTTTTTTAGAAACGCATGTGGGTTCCACAGTATAGTGCTTAGTTTGTATAATTTGATGAGAGGTATGGGACAGTGATGCTGGTGTCAGAATAGTGGCTAATGCATCACTAACAAGAAGAAGCACAAATAAGAAAAATAAGACTAAAGACACTAAATAAGACACTAAAGACACTAAAATAAAGACATTAATAAGAAAAAGCACAGGACCTCCCAGGTGAAAGGCAGATGCATATGTGTGCTATTCTGGAGTCATTTCATGAGGACGAGGAATAGGTCCCCTTGAAAGGGTTGGCTCTGAGCTCTCCTCCACGCTGCCCTCTGAGGGGACATTGATGATGCTCAGCAGCAGGAGGCTCTTGCTGATTTACCAAGCCATGTGCTAGACTTATTTCTTGAGCAGGGTGGTTTGTTCCTTTGGAAACCTTTGTTGTGGGAATTGTGACCCATTTTCCAGTACAGCCAGCATGTTCTAGTGAAGTAAACTTTCCTGTATCGCTAATGGGTGAGATTAACTGGGTACAGACCCCTGCCTGTGTTTCAGACATTGTGTCCTGGTGGGTCTTGTGTGGCAGAAGGTGTTGTGAAACTCATGGCCAAAATCGGTGCTGGGATAGGTATACTGAAGTGACTGCCCTACTTATCTACTGAATTGTCCTAGGACTGTGAAGGTTCTTCTGCTTTTTTTTTTAAAATATTTTTATTAGTAATACAAGTAACTTATGAATTAAGTAGGTTAACTATACAAAAATAGCAAACCAAATTCAACAGTTGTTTTTGTGTGTCATGGCAGTAAATCTGTTGAGCATCTGCTCAGATAAAAGCCTCTTCTGCTTTCACTCATCCTTGTAGTTAGAGCTTATTTAGATTGTTTCTGTTTAAAACCAGCAAGTAATGTCCAACAAGTCGGACAATTGTAATAAATCCTTGAAACAATCTGTGTTTAGAGGGCATAAAGTAGATAAGCTGGGAAAATTTGTTCTGCATAGTCTTTCAAAAATGAATCCAGATTCTTCAAAACAGATCTGGGCACTTCTTTAGCATAGACGGAAATTTTTGCTGGTTATAACTGCCTTCCCTGGTATCAGTAAGTATACTTACTAATTATAAGTAATTATACTTACTAGTATATTAATAATTATATCAAGTATAATAATTATATTTATTAGTATATTAATAAGTATGAGATTTGATGGACATAAACGTATGAATGTATGAAATCAGAGCATACCGCTGTCCTGGTTTGCCTTCAAACTATTATACTTCAAGTGACTGAGATGCTCTGCACTCTTCACATTCATTGTAAATTTCTCAAATTTCTCCAGGTACATGCATCCTGAGCACAGGAAAGGGAGATCAATTCTTATTGTGCACAGGCTAGCAATTAATTCAAATATCTTTGTGGACATGAAAGGCTAAAGCAAAAATGGATATTCTCTGTGCTTATGGGGGCTTTGTAGCCAGTATTCTGCCTGATGCTTCATGAATTTTTTAATCTGTCAGCACAGGTCATGTAGGAGCAGTCGCCAGGGTGATTTTGTGCAGATGCTTTGCTTTCCAGGTTGAGGAAAATAGATCATTGGTCACAGGATAGATGAGCTTCTTAAGTTTCAGACTGTAATAAGAGGACATTTGTCCTGTCTGTTGGTCTGTAATATGGACCATACTTTTGAATAAAATGAAAGACAAAAGGGAATGTTTCAAGCTGTGAAATGTATAGTAGCTTAGCTTTTCTTTCTTGCACTAATGAAAATTTGTGAGTGGGCTTCCGTATTGAAGTTAGCCACAAAATAGAAGCAGCTTCCTATGCTTGAAACACATAATAGAGAAGAGATTTATTTATTTGTGGGAAGATTTTATAGAGCTTGTTAGCCATCAAAATGTGCTGCACCTAGATAGAAAAATGTGTTGCTTTAACAAGACTCAGGAAGAACAAGAAGGTTGATGCACAACTAAGAAATTACTGTAATAGGTCAGAACCTGAAATGAATTCAGGCTTTGCTTGCAATCCTCAGAAGAAGTCAAGGAGCAGACAGGTCACTTGTCTCTGCACGTAGTTTGCAAGTTTTACATTAAAAATTTAAGAAATTTCAGAGAAGTTCTTGACATAAAACATTTAAAACACATTGTGTGTGAATGGCAGGACAGCTTATTAGGACTGATGGGGAAGTCCATCAATTTAAAAATAATTTTAAAATTCTATGCTTATTTTGTTGGCAGTTATTCCTGGGTTTGGGGCCTAATAAGATTTCTTGCAGCACGATCCCTCAAAATGGTAGCTTATTTTAGCTATGCCAGTTTTAAATGCAAGGGTGTAAACCACCCTTTTTTTTCTACATCCAAGAACCTCATCTTGATTTAGGTTATGTTAAATGAATAATCTTGTCCTTATCTTTTTGTAAAAATAATTGGACATTAGTTCAGTACCTTTTATTGCAGATTATAGTAGGGCAGTATAGTAAAATCAGGGATAGTAAGTTATTATCCTCTCACAACAGTGGTGGAAAAAAAATATATAGCAGAATTTTTTGTTTGTTCAGTCTATTGCTTGACCAGTCCAGGGTCTCTTTCTTAAAAACTCATGGGGTTTGGGTTTGGGAGAGGGCAAAGAGTTGTGGAGCTAGGGGGTGTCTTTTTTCCCCTTCTTGTCTGTCTTTTTTCCCCTTCTTGTCTGTCTTTTTTCCCCTTCTTGTCTGTCTTTTTTCCCCTTCTTGTCTGTCTTTTTTCCCCTTCTTGTCTGTCTTTTTTCCCCTTCTTGTCTGTCTTTTTTCCCCTTCTTGTCTGTCTTTTTTCCCCTTCTTGTCTGTCTTTTTTCCCCTTCTTGTCTGTCTTTTTTCCCCTTCTTGTCTGTCTTTTTTCCCCTTCTTGTCTGTCTTTTTTCCCCTTCTTGTCTGTCTTTTTTCCCCTTCTTGTCTGTCTTTTTTCCCCTTCTTGTCTGTCTTTTTTCCCCTTCTTGTCTGTCTTTTTTCCCCTTCTTGTCTGTCTTTTTTCCCCTTCTTGTCTGTCTTTTTTCCCCTTCTTGTCTTTTTATGGATTCTTGCTGTCTTTTTCTACAAATAATTTTGGTGAAATGAAGTGTGTTTCTAAATAGAGAAGGAACACTTGACAGATGAGCATTGCAAAGTATTACAATTTTATTACATCAAAGGGAAAAAATCCAATCCTGCTTTGAACTGGTTAACATTGCCAGCTAATACTGTCAATTATTTTAAGACTGATATTTTTTAAACAGAAAGTTTAGGACAAGCCATTGAACATTTTCTTTATATCCCCTCATTCATTTAAAGAAAACCAATCCTATATAATTCCATGGACCAAATACTCGTTAGCCTTATTAGCTTTTTAAGGGTTTTTTTTCAGCCCTGTTTGGAAAGCCTTAATACTTTCAGACCTTTTAGCCTGTTTAAAAAACCTGTAATATCTATTTACCTGTTGTGGGCTCTGTGGTGGTCTGAGGGTCTTCAAAGCTGCTGAGAAACTGCCAAACATGGATTTGCTAAAGGGCAGCCACTGTGGTCAGTTCAGAAGTGGTAATGACCTGCTGGTCTGGAAACAGGACATTTGTGAGATTTAGGGGAGATGAGGGATTGTTTTGCAAAGGATTTCTTGGCCTCTTTGTAGAGAAAAACATATCTCTGAATTTGGAGTGCTATTACTGTTGTAAAGCATTGGTTTGAAAAGAGCAGGCAGGATCCAAAAATGCAGACCAATGCCTCCCTTCAGTGTGTACAGGACCCTCAGGAATGCTGTTGTTGAAGACAACAGCATAGGCAGATAGTGCAGTGTTTATGGGCATGCAGATGCTGAGTGCTTTCCCCATGGATGCTCTGCAGTTACCCATGTCATCTGAACTGCCTGGTTATGGCCTTTTGTTTTGGTTTTGTTTTTAAATGTGGCTTTAGTTTGTGAATGAGGAAGCTGCCTATAAAAGGTTCTTGAATTCTGAGTTTAATTCCCTTGTTTATGTTGGGCTTTCATTTCTAGATCCAGAATGGATGAGGCTGTGTTCCGCAAAAAATGCTTGTCTCTTAATTTCTGTATAATTGAGTGCCAGCTTTCTATTCAGCTGTACTGTAACCCATTGAGAAGGATATATTAGTGTGGCAGTCATTCAGATGTACGTGTTTTAAAGAGAAGACCTGGCAATATACTCAATGCTGCTCTCCTTAGTCTTTCACAGTAGTTCTTCCCTCTTAATTGCAGTACCTTGTGCAATAAACAGTCCCATTCCTTTCAGTAAGTGCTTGGGGAATTGAATACCACAGCATTAGCAGAAATGGAAAAAATTAATAGTGCTTTTAAGAAGTGCAGCATTTGGCAAAACACTCATAGTCTGTGCATGTATCAAACATTAATTCTGTTTGTTTACTTATGAATCTATTTAAATTATTACAGAAAGCTATCTGTGAGAAATTATGTTACGGATGCTTTTTATGACATCTGCTGTGACATTTGGGATGCTACTGATTTAAGATCTACTTTAAAATTCTATTTTAACATTGAAAAACAATTTTCATACTCCAAGGTATAGCATGAATTTATCAAGTTTTTGTTTGAAAAGTAAAAAAATACCTCTTAAATTTTACCATTTGCACCAAAGGCAATTATGTGGACCTGGGTCATGCATACACCACGTTGGTGGTCAGACCTTCTCAGTATTGCAGGCACATAAAATGTTTCTGTTAAAATTGCATTATTTCCTATGAGTGTTCTACTAGGAATTAATCTCTCAAGGAGATTTTTTTTCTAAAAGCTTTTTTTCAAAAGTGGAGAAAGACCACAGGAGCATATCAAGAGAGATATGCTCTTGTGCAGTTTTTTGGGTTTGTTTTTTTTTAAAAAAAAAACTTTTCCTATGCCTTCCTCCCAGACATGGCTGGCCAAGATCATCCTGTCTTACAGCTGTTTACCCTGCACACATCCTCACTGTGCCTTGCTCTCTTTATAGACTAGTCCTGGTTCAGGTTGTGTGCCTGTTCCTCTAGTTCATGTGGAAAACATAAGGAGCAAAGGAAGGAAAGTTTATATTCCTGTTTAGAAAATACCAAATTGAAGTAGAAAATCTGATTAATTTTAGGTAATGAGTATAGCATCACTATTACAATTCTTTTTTTAAGATCTAGACAAACGCTGTGTCTATGCTTTGTCTTGGATTTATCTAGGCTGTTCATTAGCAAGACACATCATTTTAAGAATGTCATTTAGGCAAGCCAAGCTGAGCTGGTTTGCTTACATTAAAACGAAGATCAGCTCAGTGTGAACTTCTTGGAATTGCTCCTTGTGAAATTCTTGTAGCTGGGAATTTCTAATCCGCTTTTGACTTTACAAAATTAAATATGTATTTGTTATTTTAAATTAGCATGTTTACGAAACTGCTTTTCTATTGAAGTTACACCATGGCTATCTCATTCCTTCACTCAGCAGGAGGAAAGCATAACAAAAGATTAATTATATATGCATGTAAAAACCCAACCAAACATGAAACCACACACCCTCAAGCAAAAAACCCTCAAATTTAAACTGGAGAAGGATAGATTTAAGTCAGACATTAAGAAGAAATTCTGTAGTGTGAGGATTGTGTGACCTGGCACAGGTTGCCCAGGGACGTTGTAAATGCATCATCCCTGAGGTTGTGTTCAAGTCCAGGTTGGATGGGGCTTGGAGCAACCTGGTCTAGTGGGAGGTGTCCATGCCTATGTCAGGGGGTTGTACCTAGATGATCTTTAAGGTCCCTTCCAACCCTTGCCAGTCTATGATTCAATGAAATCTTCAGAGGACACTGACTTTACAAGTGCCCAGGAAATCCATCTGAAACAATTTTTCATTTAGTGACTGTTTCTTGATCTTGCTGTTAGTGGTGAAGGCTGAGCTTGAGCTCCTCTGTGGGTGCGTGAGGCTGATGAAGTTTTATTTCCACCTACAGCACTTCTCTGTCCTATCTTTACTTATAAGTGTTTCCTTGTAGGGCTTTGTAAAATTAGCTTGAATACTGATGGACGTCCCGTTTGCTGTCTCTCTTAGGCTTGACCCTTGTCTTGCTTTCTTGATTTATCTTCAGGAAATTGTTTGAATTTATGTAATAGGAAAGACTGGAAATTTTTTTGGGAGAGCTGAGTTTCAGCTTTTTGGTACAAAACATGGACATAGATGCCAAGATTTTCAACCCCTTTGTTACATGGCTAGAAGTGTTTTACAACTCCTTAGAATTAAAAAGTTAATTTCTGAAATCAAACTCCTATGAGGATTTAGTTTGCTTCTTCAGCTACCTTTTTGGTTGCTAGCTAACAGCAATGGCCAGCACTGGTTTGGTTATGCCCATGTTGAGCTACAGAGTACAATTATTGCTGCTTCTTTTGTTGCTTTGTACTTAAGTAATATACAAGTTGCAGTGTAGCTATATTATGGTATATTTACTTGGAACATGTACAGAGCTTATATGTTTGTGTTTCATGAGCAGAAAGCTGGACTGATTTCTTCTGGAGCTAGTAAAACTGGTATCACAAAGCTCTTAACTCTTAATCAGGGAGTTTACACCTGATGCAGAGCCATTGATTTGGTTGATGTTATGGTGCAAGCAGAATCATTGCAATCTGCAGCCAATGCAGATTGTGACCAAACTTTTACAGAGTATACAAGGATAAAATTGTGGATTCACTGACATGCTGTATGTGTCTTTGGATATATGACTTCCCACCTTCCTTGCAAATAGTCACCAGAATTATCCCAGGCTGTAGGATTTGCTTTCATATGGAAATGGTATTAATAGAACAAGATTTTTTTCCTTGGGAAAGCAAAGTGGTCTAGCATCACCCATCTTTATGATATTGTTGTAACCACTGTAATATTACTTAGGACTTCATTCTGTTTAGTCCACTGTGCAGTCTTAAACATAACAGAAACAGCAGTTGTAGCTCACAACCGTGCTTAAAATGGGGCTTGCATGTAGATGAGAATTCTGTAATTTTTAAGAGGTTGTGGTCATTCAGCTGGATGAACATGAAACTACTTCATAACTACTGGGTGTGTTTCCCTGCTGGAAAATTAACTGAAAGGAAATTGAAGTCTTTTACGTGAAATCAAGAGTTATGTAATTCAAAGGTGTTAAAAGTTCATACTGTTTATATATGAATTTGTTCCCTATACAGACTTGGTAGCTTTCATGGAAATTCCAGAGTTGGACTCATAGATACAAATAACTTAGTTTTTAATGGGTGGCATGGTCTTCTTTGAATATATGTAATCCAAACAATATAATTAGTCTCTAAAATATGTTGGAGTCACCCAGTTTGTAAACTGGATTAATTTAGGGATTGGTGTTTGTAACAGAAACAGCTTCATATTTTAGCAGAAGTGTTTGGAGAAACAGCAAAGTCTTTGAGGCATAGCTTAACAATGTTTGAACTTCATAGTGTAGCAAATTGACTGGGCAGCTTGAGTGCTTGCTGCCTTTAAGGACTTTGTTAGAATTTCTGCTTTGCTAAAGGAGTCCTGAGACAGGAGCTAGCTACTCTGGAAACTGGTTTATGAAAAAGGCTGTGTTTGGAGGATAATATTATATGCTTCTCATCTCTGCAAGCTGTCCTGCTTTTTTCATTAGTTGGTGCTTCTCTAGGAGGCATTTTGTTCTTTTGTTGTTGTTCTCCTTTTTTTATTACATGAAAGAAAATGCTCCATTTCATGTGCTCCACAGAGTTTGTTTCATCTTTCAAAGTGATGTTACTAATTTTGCAATGTGATCACCTGTATGAGCCTGTCTTTGAGCTGCAAGGCTAAGTATTGTTTTTGTTGGCAGGGTTATACTGTTTGCATATTTACCACGTGTTATTGATTGATAACAGCAATTAAGTAAATAACAGAAGGATTTAACTTGTTTGTTTTTTTTCACTTCTCTGTTTCTCATAGGTTCATTGCCAAACCATGTGCCTTAGGCCTTAAAGTCCAAGCCAATGGACCGCAGAAAGCTCAACCTAATGCTATACTGGAAAAAGTTTTCACAGCTATTACAAAGGTAGAGTATTTAACTAAAAAATTTACCTTATAAAGTGGGCTGTGACATTATAAACTACCTCTGAACAAAACAAAGCTAACTGCATTTTTACAGCTAAGATCAGAACATGCAGATGTCCAGGTTGTCATTGGTGTGCCAGCTTCAGCAGTTGTGCATCTTTCTGTGATATCTCCTGCAAGCTTTTAATAAAAAAAAAAAAAAAAAAGTTGTTGCAGAAACACTAATACTTTGTAGGTAACATATGGCCACCTACTTTTTTTTGCTTCCTATCTTTTAGGAATTTCTTTCAGAATTTCATTTTTTTAAGGGATTGATGAGCCAGTAAGATTGGGTTTCCTGTGTTTTCCATGAAACTTCAAAGCTACCCCTTCTATGGGAACAACTGTGAGTGCAGGACGCTGGTGGCCTTCTGGTGCCCTAGCCCTTTGTGTTATGATGGATATCCTTTGAAGGTGGGGCAGGGGGTGGGGGAAGCTTGAAAAGTGGGGGAACTGGCTGAAAAGTGTTTTAAAGCTTTCAGGAGTTTTTGGTAGAAAACAAGTTTTTCCCCCACAACCTGTGTCTCTGTCTTTACACCTCTTACTGTATAACATCTCAGCTAAACGTCTGTGTCATCCTGTCTGTGTCTTGGAAGCATCCTGAGTTTTCCTGTAGCAGTAAACAGTGTTCAGGTGTCTTTTAGCATCTCCTGAAGACCTCAGTTGTCAGCGTCTTCATAGTGCAAAGGCCTGTGGAGTCTTGAATGATGAGGCAACTATGCTACAGGAACTTGGCTGCAGCTGGGTGCACTACAACAAAGGCATCAGCCTAAACTTCAAAGACTATTAGAGCCACAGAAGACAAAATTTGGTTCAGTGTCAGGGACAGAAATGTGCCATGGATTTATCTTGCTTTTATGTCTTATCATATCCTGAGATCCCCATGGCACTTCATGTGGTTTTTGTCCTGTTTGCAGAGAGGGAATTGCAAATACGTTATTTTTAAAAGCTGCAGCTCTTGTCCAGACTCAGCTGGAGGAAGACTAGGATTTTTTTTTTCTTTTCTTTTTTTTCCTAATTTTTATTTGCAGAATCTGCTAGTCTGACATACAGGGCCTGTGTGGTCTAACTAATGCCTGTGAGTCAAGGTAGGAGCTGGCACGCAGGGGTCCCAGCACTCAGTGTGTGGAAATGAGTGGGAAGAACTCCAAAGGAAAGTATCTACTTTTCTGCAGGAGTTTGGTAGGGCTGCCTGGTACCTTCTTGCAAAGAAACTGTTCGGTTTAGCTAGCTGCCATCTTCTGAGCCACATGCAGCAATTCCCTGTAGTTGGCTCCCAAAAGCTGCATCAGTAATTTGGTTTTTCTAAAGTTACAGAAAATGGCTTTTCTTCCATTGAAAAACTGGTGGCTACTTTGGTTGACTCCTCTTTTTTTTTTTCTTTGTGTGGCTTTGTTGTTGTTATTTGTTGTTTTGTTTTGTTGTTGTTGTTTGTTTTTGTTTGGAGATGGATGGCAAATACTTCACCCTTCTCTAGTCTCTTCCATTTCCTTCTATTTTCTGTCTGTCCCTCCCCGCAGGCTGATAGATGGAACTTCAGCCTGATGAAAGCTTTGCTATTTTACCTCTTGCAATGTATAAAAAAGTCTTTGTAGTGGCAGCTGTTGTATCGTACTTAATGTATGTAACTGTCTTGCAGAAATAAAGCTAAAGCTCTAGAAGACAGATTGTCTAAAGACTTTTTTTGTTTACTTAAAAACAAATGTGATTGGGATAAATGTATAAATAGTCCTCATGCAGTCCTGTACATGCAGGATTGCTGCATGATGGAACGTGTGGCCTGTAGTGCTCTTCTCCATACAGTAGTAAAATGAAGGACAGACTCATTTTGGAATGAGAGTTCCACATTTGCAGCTTTGGAGAAAAATTATGTGTAGCTAATTTTACAGAAAAAAAATTCCCTCTCTCTTGTCATCAAGGTGATTTTTCCTTTTGAAGTTGTCACTTTGTTTAATGACCTCATTTTTAAACATAAACACGGGATATATCTTCTTTCCATGTCAAACAATCCTTACTAATGCAACAGTCGACAGGACAAAGACCCCAATGCAGGAGGATGGAACAGGTATAGTATGTGGCAGGCAAGGGGGTGCTGTCAGCCCTGCTGCTTGAGAAATGTGTGGCATTTTATTCCTACTTGCCATTTTTGGAGTTTCGAACAAATTTTCTTCTCATTGTTTCCTTAGGTTTCTTGTTAGTAATAACCTGAATGCATTATTACAGAATATGTCTTTCTAGTTTCATAACAGTCACTGTAAATGTATTTTGAGGTGGATTGGCCAGCAGAGATTTCTGTAGAAGTAATTTTATTTCTGTCCATGTATCTGACAGGCAGCCTCTTAAGACACAGAGAGGCTCTTATAGTTGTCCTAAATTGAAAGTGGAGTTACTGCAGTTGGAAAAGAAATAATTTTTATCCTTCTCTGTTCTGTAGCAGCCAGATGAGAAGAGGCTGGAGGGCCTCTCCAAGCAGCTGGACTGGGATGTACGCAGCATTCAACGTTGGTTTCGACAACGACGCAACCAGGAAAAGCCTAGCACCCTTAGGAAATTCTGTGAGAGCATGTAAGGATGCACATTCCCTTCTTGAGTCTTCTTGAGCCTGTCCTCATATCTTTTCCCCTCTGTTCTTCAGGGGTATTTTTGTAGACTGGTAGGAAGTGATACAAATTAGTAGAATATAATTTCTTGAATGAGAAAAATAGTGTCCTTTCTCCTGAAGGAGCCAGGTTGTACTTTTCATGTATTTTCAAGGGTGAAAATCTCTAGGGATCAAGTGGTTGTGATTCTGTACTGTCAGGGTGCCAGACTGATCCTTTGATACAAATAGTCTGGTGTTAGGGTAGCAAGCTGTCTTTACAGTACAATCTTTTGATATACAGTCTGTCAGAGATTGGAGATTGAGGAGCAAAAATAAAAGCCAGTTGGGTCTTGTCCCCTTTACAAACCCATTAGGTTGGGTACATTGATCTCTGAAAAGCTAAAGGTTTCTACACTTTTTCTGGGAGGTTATTTTTCACCTGCTGGGATTTATTTCCAAGGAATCTTTCCCAGCACCCAGCTGTTCTTCAAACTGGCTGCCTACATAAAGGTTGTTTTTCTAATTAGACTCCATTGTTTTTAGTATCTGAGTTACATTTCCATGCCATCTGGATTTATGGTAACAATACTTAATCTGCATTGAAAGAGCATGGAAAATTATATCTACTTAAAATATTTACATGTTTTTCTTGAAGGAGGACTGATAGACATTGAATTCAGAAAAAGCACAAAGAATGACACTAATTTATTTGAAAGACTCATTGATTCCAAGACTCAACCCACTAGCACTGCTGGATGTAGTTCCATTGTTGTGGAAGGTCATGCATTTAAGGCAAATTTTACATGCTCCAAATTAAGACACTTGGCAAATTCTGTCAAGTATTGGCTTTATTACAGTCTGGTGGTTAAGTAGTTGTGTAACTGCTGGCTTAAAACTCTAGTTACACTTTTTGTTAGCTGGGAAAGAAGTGTTAATAGAAATGTTAGAAGAAATAGAGGGAGCCTATTTTAAGTTAGAAAACAGGCCTTAGCTGACCTTGTTATCCAAGTTTGGTTTTTGACCTAGCAATTCTCAAGTGATTTCTTAAGACACTGCAAATAGAGATGTCTCAAAAACACAGCACACGAACCAGAGAGAGAAGGATATGTGTTTATTAAAAAAAACCCACTGCTTTCCTAAGTATATTTCATACTTTTTTCCTTTTATAGGTTTTCTAAGTATTTTTCTTAAACTTTATTTTCCCGTGGCTGCATACAGGAAGGTTCATAATGTTGTCCCTGATAATTAATGTATTAAGGCTTTTTTTCTAAAATCAAACTATAGATGAAGTGTTATAAATCTGATACCTACTTTCAGTTAAGGACTGAATAGAAGAGAAATTAGTCAAATTACTGTTAAGCAGGTTGTCTCTGTAGCTCAGACAATTTGAGTCCTTTTTTTAATTTTAGAAAAAGAAATATTATTGCCCTTTAATAAACAGAGGAACTTAGCTGTCAGAATGCTTTAACCTTTCTTTGGTATCTACAGCTAAAATCCACCCTACTTAATATTTAATAAAGGCAGGCAGGGTAAGATTATAGATAAACCTAGTCATCCTGCTGCTGGCAGCTGGTGGTCTTAGAGTTACTAGTTTTTCAGATCACTGAAGAACAACCTTTTTTCTACAAGAGTTGTAGCTGTTGGTGTATACGCACGTCTGCTTAATTTGCAGGAAAGGCTGTGGAATCTTGGGGAAAAAAGTAAAATTGTATTACTGTTAGAGCTAGCATATTTGGGCTGTATATTTGGCTGCTTCCATAACTCAGGTGGAAGACTTCACTGTCTTGTATTAGTGCTTGCACATTTAGGCTTACCTCAATTTAGAAAAAATTTAAATGTACCAGGAGACACAGGCACAGATAGGAAAGCTATAGGTGCTGAACTTGCACCTTTGTGGCATACGTTATGGGAAGAGTGTGCAGATGAGAGCCGTAAATGCAAACTGGAAGGTAAGTTCTAGCAGTAACGAATATCATTAACTTATGCTGACAGAATTAATCATCAGCTTCGTTTAGAGAGAGCCACTGGACATCGCAGCAATATGTGCACTTAATAGTAATAATAATACTTGTCAAAGAATAAGCAAGGTGGCATAAATAACAGTAAGTGGCTATTTCAGATTCTCTCTGCTTGTGGTTTGCAGAAGGTGCAGCAGAAGTTGCCTCTCCATCTCTGTACCTTCATGCTGCTGTAAGAATGTGGTGTTACCTAACTGTGGTGTTCATTGTCGTGATACCAGTTCCAGTGGTGCCATGTGTGCCACCAGCTGTCCCATCACATAGGCTGGGTGGATTTGTTGGCAGGTGGTCAGAATAGCACTGAGAAGCTAGGAACACTCTTAGCCCTCTCAATATGGGTGTTAAATGGTTGTCTAGTTAAATCTATCAGGGTACTAAGCATGGTGCTTTGCTTTAGTATGTTTGGAGCAAAGAAACCCTACTGTCTGAGGTTTGTAGTCTTTTCACAGCTATGGAGTTAATGGGGTGGCTTTTTGGCTGAAGAGTCCATGTGTGGCAGCTGCTTCACAGCTCTGAGCTTTGTAAAGCACATTTTCCTGTGACAGTCTTGGGAATGGGAGCACTTGAAGTCTTCAGTAACTGGGGCTGGTTTCATAGCCCTGACAGAGAATGAAATGTGCCCTTAAGTAATAAGCAGGCACAGAGTGAGCAAAATGACAAGGATCCCCACCTACACCTTCAACTGTTGAGCTGCTGTTTTCCTTCCAGAGAAGCTTCAGTTTTGCTGGCAAGTGTATTGACTGACTGTGACTTGGGAAGACAAGTGACAGAACCCACAGCGAATGTGGAGCTGCTTAAAAAGAGCTCCAGCTCTTCTTACATGATGAGAATTCCATTTACTGCTAGAAAAAGTGTTCCTTGGGCCCACAGTGGCTTTTCCATGATGCAGCTGTGCCAGAAGGGCTGTGGGCTGTTTCTGATTGCCTTATCTTGCCAAATGAATAGTGTGGGTACTATCTAAGGCAAAGCAGTTTCAATAGGCAAGAGGCCAAGAGTGCAACTTGATAAACAAGCTTGACTGTGATGAATGACACTCAAGATCCAGGCCCACAGAGACTAAAACTGTAACATAATTATTAGATTCTTCTTGTCCCAGATTTCTCATTTTCTCTACCCCTTCTCTGCTTAGGATTTCAGATATTATGGGTGGTAAGTACCTCTACAAAAGATGAAATAGATAATTTTACCAGGTGATGATTTGTGATCTGGTATTACTAAAAAAGATGGTAATAAATGTGGTGCTGGGGACTATGAGTTGTTCCTCAAGGATTTGGTGATTCTGACAGAAAACTTGGAATTAACAGCAGAGTATTTATAGTCATTAGGAAAGGCATCCACCCAGTATAACCTTAGGTTGTAATACTGAGCTCTTAGCTTACTATATTAGATGGAGGAAAGGGTCTGTCCATAGCTTTTCTTTCTTTTGTGGGAATTAGGCAGGAATTAGGAATTAAGTAGTTTTGCTGCTTTCCTCAACTTGAAAGATCCAAAGTGCATAAGGGAGAAGAAAAAGTGGTGAACTGAGTGTGCAAAGTGGACTTCTCTACTGCCATGCATTTCTGTTGTTTTTTATGTCTTTGTCTTCATGGCACAGCCTAACATCAAGGAAAGATAAGCTTTCTCCTGAATAAGAGTGGGGCAAGGACCTCGTGCTCTATGAGTATGCAGCGCATGAAAGAGAAAGTGGATTACCTGGCCTCTTTCCTGAAGCTTGTGTGGTTTCTGTTACTCATGCAGAGTATTCATCTTGCTTCACAAGACTAAAAGTTTTTTCTGCAGAGGACCATAATCCATTTTTAGGCAGATGGTATAAATTGGATCAAATGTTCTAATGACTCTGCTGGAGCATAGGTCTACCACAGAGATGCATTTTTTAAAAAAAGTTGACCACAAAAATGTCTTAAGGAATGAATGTTGCATCTGAATATAGTGGCATGAGAATTATAGGCCTGGAATAAGCTAGTGGAGAAAGGGCTTTCAAGGTAAGCTGGGGACCGCTAGGAAGATGGTGACTTTGCTGATACCCGAGAATGTCTTTGTTAGTATCTGCCATGTCAGAAAGACAATGTAGTAGTGCTTCCCAAACCACTTCAAGTTTCTTCCTGATTTCAGTTTATTGTACTGCTGCTCACATGTCTGTGTAGGCATATCTGCTTTTCTCAAAGATTAAATAGCATAGAGAGAGCAAGGATGCTGTCGTCCTCCCTTGTTTTCCAGAGGAAAGGGAAAGAATCTGTGTTGCCCTAAGTTACTAGCCTGGGACTTTGAATGTCAGCAGACTGATGATTTCTCTTTCCTACAGCTCTGTACATTTAAGCAAGCTGCTTGTTAGAGACATTTACATGGTTTCCAAGGAGTAGCTGGCAGAAACATATGACTAAGAGTTTTTTCAGTTTATGCAACAGCTTGCACACAAAAAAATGGAAATGTACATGCCAAAATTTTCTTTCTTCCTCGTTCTTCTCTAGAAGAAGCTTGGGTACTAAAGTATCTATAAATTAGGTGTCTTAGTTTTGATGTAGGGGAGAGAAGAGTCTCTGTCTCATCTCCAAGCCAGAACAAATTCTTTTGCCTAAGGAACTGGATCTGCTTATACATGTTGCTTTTGGAGAGATTTTATATATCTGTGTATATATGTGTATAGCTAGAGACAGATATACACAGAATTTTATTTATTTTTTTTTGCTTATCATACACATTTGTGTGAGAATTTTATGGGCAGTTTGCAGCTTCCTGGCCATATTGCTTTTCTTGACTAGCAGACTAATTCTCTCCTACAAAATAAAATGGGAAAAATATCTATACAAGGGAAATAAATTGAGACAGCTGCTTGGTTGTTGAAATTCTGAACTGTGCTGATACAAATCTTAACAAAGCACAAAAGAATTCATCAGTCTCTGCTTTGTGTGTAGCAGTGAAGCACTAGAAAATAAATAGGCATCAAAAAGTGTCTAGCTCTGAATTTT